GCATGCAGTATGGGGCTGATCCCTGCAGATCTTTCGTTATATGGTCTGTCGCCATCGCGAACAGGTATGGGTCCAGTTTTGAGCCTTTATGGACGGCTACCCGCACAGGGAATTCCCCTGGTTATCTAGGAATATCATTTGAATAGCTTGCTGCTGATTTCGTTGTATATTTTTGGGACTGATCTTAAGGCAGAAATGTCGTCGGTGGTTGACTTGCCAAATATAGAACCAATTTCGTTCGTTGTGGTAACTGATTTTCATATTTTTCGTTAACCGTCAAATCTGAAAACATGTGCATTTTAACGATCCACTGCATAATATCCAATGGCTTTTGCTGTTGGAATTTCCTTATTTACTTGTTGTCTTATATCTGAGAGAGCTTATTTGTGCAGCCATTCTTCTCCAAAATGACAAGTCATTGCTGCGATGCTTTGGGCAGGTCTTGAACGGAAGGCGAAACAGTTATTAATTGCCCATCCGACCGGTCAAAGACCTCAGGAACGGCCATTAATAATCTGAGGCAAGTAGTTCTAAGGGCTCTGATTATGTTATGTAACTCGACTATATTCTGCGGTAATACCTTCGTAATGTTTGCGTTTAGATTTCTCAGGATGTTCAATAGTGTAGTAGCGTCATGATCTGAGCACTCCTTATGGTCTCCCTTATTGAACTTGAGTACTACAACTCCCCGGTTTTCCTCTCTGTCTGTGCCTTTCTTATGGCCGCTGCACTTTGAAAGACACGTGTAGGCCATGACATTGCTTGTTCGCCTAATGTTTTAAGCATTTCAGAGTGGATTTCATGCATTGCTGCAGCCTTGCCACTTTTCAAGCTTTTTAGGCTTCGGTGACTTAATCTACTGAGCACTAATATCCATGGCCTGCTGCTGTGTAGGCTATTATCTTCCTGCGGTTGCTCAGGGTTAAGGAGTTTCCTAAAGTACTCTTCTAATCGCTGAAGACTAATTTCATCCTCGGTAAGAGGACGTCCGGATTTATTGTTCCGAACTTTCAGACTGCCTTTTTTCTCCTCGGATGTGGCGAATGGTTTGCCAGAATATCTAGGTTACCTTCTTGAAACTCCACTCCATCACTTGACCGACCTTTTCCCATGAGAGTTCCATCGTTTTGTCCACTGTTTTCGCTGTTGCTTTGCGCTCTTCTTCGTAATACTTTCGAGTTGAAGGCTCTGTACTTCCAGGAAATCTCGCTGGCATCCAGTTAAGCCTCCAATGTCGATCCGGAAGTTCGATTGTAACCTCCAGGCGGCAGGCCAACTCGTTTTAAATCACATCATTTGCTAGCCGCCATTCTTTAAGAAATTCCACACGGTTTCCACATC